TAATCTCTGAGTACTCTGAGCTACTTTTCATTTCCTGCACACATTAAATGCTTTCACACTTCCATGCCTTGCATGATGCTCCATCTGTCTGGAAAACCCTTGGCTCCCTGGCTTCCTGTCTTCCCCAGCCCCCACCAGACACAATTCCTACATTCCAACCAGTCCTAGGGAGTTCTGTTTTAAAACCTGGCCCATCCACCCTTTGATGCTTCTCTAAGACTTCAAGAAGGACAGACCTCTCTTCCCTCTGTTTAGCATCATTTACACTCTTCTGTGAGTCTTTGATGTCCTGTCTCTCCCATAACTCTGAATATCTCTAAGAGAGAAACTAGCTTTTATTCACCTCTCTTTCCAGAACCTAGCACAGTGCTTTTATTCTTTAGTGTTACACAATTCTACATATTTGAGGCAATTTCATTACAAACAAACATGTTCTTTCCTTTTCTTATAAAACCATCGTTTAGTTTTACAGAATCGTCTAAGGAGGAGGGGCTTAGTCACCTTTAAGAAATTAACCGATTATACAGAATTCTTCAATTCTGAGTGAGATTCGAGTTATCATCTAAGATGCTCAAAATAACATTCCTCTGCTTCTGGTAATAGAGAAACAAAACAAAACAAAACAAACCTTAGATGTTTAATTCAGGATTCACATCTTCAGCCATACCCCTCTAAAAAGAGTGGAGAGGGTATGTACAAGAAACAACCAATCCCGAAAGAAAAGTTATTTTTACTAGCATTTTTGAAACACTCGGAAATGCTTTTGATCTTAATGATCTTTTGATTTAAAAGTTAAGATGAAATGGCTGCTAAATAAAATTCATAAGCATTTATAATACCACAATCTCAGATGTCAATAAAGTTTGCTTAAGGGAACATGCCTGTAAATTACCTATTTGCTTTGTGTTTCACTTGAAACGGTGCAGAGCTATAATAATGATTTGGCTACTGAAAGTATAGGTTCATGCGGCATATGGCTTTATTGGAGAGGATTTCCCCAGCAAATGTCAAAGTACAAAGAAAATCTCCTATGTTGAAAACCTTCTGTATTCAGAGTAACAAAATTTGTCTGCTTTGCTTGACTGATGAAGATTAGCTGACTTCTTGCATTAAAGAAGTTTGTCTTGTAGGGGCTGAAGTGACAAGACAATAACTAAGTGCTAATTGTGCATAACCAGCACTAAAGATATGCAGTCCCATTATGGCATGTAATAAATGAAGCGAACACAGAAATATATTAGGTACTTTAATAATGATACTAGAATAGTATTTTGCAGCAATAAGAATGTGAACGGTTTTAGAGGTAAAATTTAGGAGTGTTTGTCTTACTTGACTGAGTTCTACTGAGGAGATAGACTTAATTGTGAATGCAACTTTTTATTTCAATGGTAAAATAAAATTGATATATGATTTGTAAATAGCATTAACAACCTACAATTTGCATCATAATAGAATTTAGGCTGGGTTTAGTCCTTGAGTGATGTTTTAATTTTCTGTGTAGAACATGGATAAAATAGGGAAGCCTGCCCTAATGGAAAAATGGACAAAGGGCATAAACAGGGTGTTCCCTAAAAGAAGAAATATCAAAGGGCCACTAGAAATCAAATAAATGCTAATTAAAAATTATAATGGGACACCATCTTTCATCCCTCAGGGTGACAAGGATTTCTTTTTAAATAATAATTCCCAATGTTAGAGTGAATGTAAGGGAATACATAGCTCTTACGCATCTGGTGTGATAATAACTGGTATTAACTGTTCGGGAGAGCATTTTAACAATAGATAACATAAGCCTTTAAACAATTATATATTTTGTCCAGTTAATTGTGCTCCTGTGAATTTATCCTGACACAGGCTTGAATATTGTTTATCAATATCATGTTTACAATATTATGTTGATAATACTGATAATATAAAAAGTTGAAGAGATAGCCTATACCTCTGATGATAGAAGACTGATTTAACATATGAAGCTCTATTCATAAAATGAAACACAATAAGACTTAAGATATCTTAAAAGAATTTGAAAAGCATACTATCGTAAATGAAGAAGTCCAAATATCAAACATTAGGATTCTTCCCTGTTTCTTTTTCTTTAAGCTGCTCAAATATTTTATAAAATATATGCTATATATCATTTATCATACATGCATAAGAAAACATATGGCTAGCTATACACCAAAATATTAAAATGCCTTCTTTTAGAATAGTGAGACATGGGACAATATGATTCTTTATCCCTTTCTAGTTTCCAAAATTTCTACGATGAATATGTAACCTTTTATAAGTAGAAAGCAGCGTTTTTTTTTTTGCCAATACTACCATTTTTATTTTTTATTTTATTTTATTATTATGTTATATTATGTTATTATTTTATTATAATGTAACCATACATTACATCATTAGTTTTTGATGTAGTGTTCCACGATTCATTGTTGCATATAACACCCAGTGCTCCATGCAGTACGTGCCCTCTTTAATACCCATCACCGGGCTAACCCATCCCCCCACCTCATCCCCTCTAGAACCCTCAGTTTGTTTCTCAGAGTATTGTTTTTTTTTTTTAAATAAAGATTTTATTTATTGATTTGACAGAGAGAGAGATAGGGAGAGCAGGAACACAAGCAGGGGAGGTGGGAGAGGGAGAAGCAGGCTTCCCGCCGAGCAGGGAGCCCGATGTGGGGCTCGATCCCAGGACCCTGGGATCATGACCTGAGCCGAATGCAGACGCTTAATGACTGAGCCACCCAGGCGCCCCTCAGAGTGTTATTGTTGCATAAAGATAACTGTATTGTGAGTAGATGCTGTTAGTGGATCAATATGACAAGTAAATAGAAGTATTCTAAATTTACTACTAATATGCCTTTAAAATATATACACATATATGTACACATGCATATAAATGTCTGTATGAATGTATAGATATTTATGTTCATGTGTCTATATCTTTTTTTTTTTTTAAAGATTTTATTTATTTATTTGACAGAGAGAGATAGCGAGAGCAGGAACACAAGCAGGGGGAGTGGGAGCGGGAGAGGGAGAAGCAGGCTTCCTGCCAAGCAGGGAGCCCGATGCGGGACTTGATCCCAGGACCCTGGGATCATGACCTGAGCTGAAGGCAGACACTCAACGACTGAACCACCCAAGTGCCCTCATGTGTCTATATCTTTACATGCATACTTGCCAATTTATTTTTGGCTAAATGTCACCATAGACTGAATTAACCTGCTTGATTCCAAAAGTTTGTTGGGAAGACTCAAGGTGTTGTAAGAGGACTTTCTTTTTTTTTTAAAGATTTTATTTATTTATTTGACAGAGAGAGAGATAGCGAGAGAGGGAATACAAGCATGGGGAGTGGGAGAGGGAGAAGCAGGTTTCCCGCAGGGCAGGGAGTCCAATGCGGGGCTCGATCCCAGGACCCTGGCTGGGATCATGACCTGAGCCTAAGGCAGATGCTTAATGACTGAGCCACCCAGGCCCCCCATGATGACTTCTTGAATTATTTCCTGGATAAATTAGATATTGCAAGGTATAGTGGGCACTTGTGTTCATCTCCATCTAGCAGGAAATATTATTGAGATATATCTTTTTTTTCGAGATATATATCTTGTGTAAAAACCAAGTTAGTGGAATATAATTTGGTAAAAGTAAATTATAAATATCAAGATAAAAGAACTAATTTTTTAGAACCAACTGTGCTCCTGGTATTTAATATAAATTATTTCCCTTAATTTTCAAAATCTGTAAGATAGGTATTAACGTCTCCATTGTCAGGGGGTGGAAACCCATCTCAGAGATTAAGTAACAGACTCAGGGTGTCATAGCTAATATATCATGGGGCTGGAATTTGAATCCAGTTCTCCCTGTAAAAATCATGTTCTCTCTACTACTCTTTACAGGGCCTCATAAAAAAGATGCTGCATTGAATAGTAAAGCAGGGCAAATGACAGTAACTGAGAACTTGATGCAACGAGTATGTCCTGATTATATATTATGTCCAGGTGTTGTCACACTCACGCTGAATATATTTTCATTAACATCCATCAAGTGTACTAATTTTTTACTTGTATTTTAACGATAGGTACAGTTTTATATTCTAATATCCTCTGCATATAGCATATAAAACAGGTATCCGTAGTGTATAGTTCCCTCTGGAAATAAAAGTTATAACTTTCAAGAAGGAAAAATAGAATAAAGTGATAATACTTTGAGATGAAAGAGTTCTCTGAGACTGCTAATCCAGCTCCCCTTTGCTGTAAATGAGAAAACCGAGGTCGAGAGAGCTAAGATGGTTGATGGATGGTTATACATCTTGTGAGGGGCAAAGCCCAGCCTAGAATTTAGGTTTCTAGATGCCTTGTGCAATGCTCTTCCCATTTGCCTATGCTGCCTGCCCAATGCTGATAAGTGTTTAATTATTAGCTATATCTGGCCTCATTCCCAAGGAGACTTAAAGCAACTTAAAAAGTACATATGAAACAAGGTTAAAATTCAAGATAAGAAATCAGGGCAACCATAAATAGGAAAAATAAGATGAAGACACACTACCTCCTACAAATTCCTGTGTATTTGCCTCAGCGCAAATGTGTTGGCTCACAGAACAAAAAGTAAAGATTTTAAGGCTACTTTTAAAAAGACAACATTTTAAAGATACTTTTAAAGTTTTAAAGTAAATTTGAGGGATATTTTAAACCTACTTTTTAAAAGGACAGAAAAACAATAAAGAATGAATAAGAGGAAAACTCAAGTTGATAGCAGTGTCCTCATTTCTTATCGCAGCCTGCTCTAGGATGCACTAGGATGCTCTTTGGGCAGGTAGAAGAGCAGTTTTAAGACCTTTCCCCCTCTGAGCTTTGTTTCTGGCACCAGATGAATGTTTGCAGAAAACAAAAACGCTGAGATTGATTGCCTTAAGTAATATATATAATTCCCATCTTTAAGGAAATAACGAGCAAAGAGAGGTTTGCCATTTTTTAGACACCAGAAGGAAATCCGCTTACCTCTGATTACAAAGCTGACATGCAAAGCAGTCCAGGTGGTAAACGTTGTCCTTGGCGCGCATCACCATCTCAAAGGCAGGGATGAGCTTACTGCAGGCGGCACAGTTTCCCGTCACACCGAAGAGCCTGGAACAATAAACAGTTTTTTCAAACTCTTACAGGGAGATCTGAGATGATGAGTAGAGAAGGTGCCAGTACACCCTGCAAAGCTATCAACACACAATGCCTTATGATGTACACAATCAAGTTTTATCCTCAGCAGATTCGTAAGCATTCTTCTCCGATACATACTCAGTTGACCTTTCTTGATGAAAATCACGTCTTGTTTGAGAAGAAAAGGAAAAGACAAATACATCAGGAAGCTTACATAACCGTACACACACAAGTCAATGGAGGTGAATTCGTAGCAAACAAATCTTCTACTTGATAGAAAATGCAGTAAATAGAAATGCAACGTAACTTTGACCTTAATGCCACAGAATAGCCATTTTCGCTGGAAAATAAACCCATTGGAATGACTCACTATTTTCTGACATCTAGTTACCACAAGGTTTGCCATTATTATTAAAAGAATGTTTATGAACAAGCCATTTAAATAGTCAAAAAACATTAGAGGCACACGCACCTTATGGCCCTATACCATAGTTATAGCTATGATTATGTTATTCAAGTAGCACTTTAAAGTAAATGAGGCCGCAAACTACATATCGCTCAACCAGGAGTTGAAACATAATATATTGAAAGAACCACTGGAACTGTCCAGGAAAAAGGTATTTTAAAAAATCCTTTTTGTGATAGATTCCTGAAAATAGGTATTGTAATGACCTAAAAAAAATAGTATAAAATAAAGTGTCTTTATAGTTTCATAATGCAAGGAAATAAAATATTTTATCCATTTGCACTGGCAATATTTAAACCAAATTTCTTTAAAGTTGTTAATGGTGGTGAAGAGTTATTATAAATAATATTCCGTGCATAGCAGTTAATGCACTTTTTAACTAGGAAGCAAACTAGATGAAAAACACCACATCTGCCAGTTTCTTTTTTCTCCAGCATCAGGCTGACAGGAGAAAAATATAATGGCTCTCATGGGAAAGACCAAATTAAAAGCAGTTCTAAACTAATGAATTCAAAGGTGCTATGGAGAAAACTCATTTTATTTATAAAAGTGTACTTTAAAAAACTTAGTCTTTCATTTTATTGAATTTAAGGATTACGCACAAATGTGCTGAAGTTTCTCTTCTTCTACTTTCTAAATACTCCAAAGACAGGTAGGCCTTTGCTTAAGGCATGCATATTCATGTTCAAGTTTATAACCATCTCCTCTTACCAGGCTAATGACAATTGTTGGAAAGAGTTGTGAGAATGGTTTTCAGGGTCTGGCGAAATGTGTAATAAATGTTCATGCGTATGTTTTTGTTAGATTGTCTTTAGAAGAATGTAAGTGCCTTGAGGGTAGAAAGCATACATGCTTTTCAAACAGCTTGCCGGTATGATCTGTGCCCTTGATAAGAGGGGAAGGAAGTTTTATATTCAAGAAGACTAAATTCAAGATTGTTAGGCGCTGTTTTCCTGCAGGGATTTTAAAAACATTCTAATAAGGAGTATAACTCTAATCACCTTCATGTTCCCGGTTTACAGCCCCTATTTTAGAAAATAGTTTTTCTCTAAAAAGAACTTCACTGAAAACGTAGTATCTCACATCTCCTACTGGCATCGTTAAAAATGAAACCACCACAAGCTAAAGCTTTCATCCTGTTCTTTTGTAAGCAGAATTTTCCCGTCCCTTCTAACATCTCACATTTACTTTTCAGGGCACTTCATATGATCCATTTAGGAGTCACATCCCTTACATGTGCCATTTGTTCCTTCTGTCCTTTCATTATTTATTTATTTATGTGGTTTTTGTCTTGGTTTTTTTTTGAGAAATAAGGAAATCTTTAAAAGTTCTTTATTCCACGAATATAGATGCACTTGTGGGTAGAAAATGTGGCTGGTAGGCGAGAACGCGGTTGTTGAGATCTACTCGGTTTGCTTACACCTCACAAACATACCCACACAATGCCATTTTGAAATTCTGGACATAGTTTCCCCCAATTTCAATTGCTCTCGCTAGCTGAGCATTTATCAGCTACCTGATTAGAATTTGTTTCCACACAAACCATTGATCATCAGCCTATTACTAGGCAAATGACAGTTAATTACCCACTACATTAACCACTGGGACCTGAGACCTGCTTCTGCTGCCATCAGTCAACATGATAAATGTGGCAAGTTCAGTAATGCATGGCCAGCCCTGAGCTGCCTGCTATACTGCGAACAACCCTCAATCTCACTTCCAGGCCCAGGAAAATCTATGGCAATCTGCATAATTACAAGCTCTGGGTTAATAACAGACAAATGATTTGTTGCATCTAAACAAAGTCCTTGGAATGGTACTGGTCTCTGGAGGCTGGCCGTCCGGCGTGCCTTCTCTACTGTACTAGCCACCGCAACGTGCACAAAACGCTTCTCTGCCATTACAGCCTTCCAATTTGTTGCCCTCCAATTTATGGATTCTGCATATGTGATTTTTAATCATTAAAGGACTCTTGAAGCAATATTATCTTAATTATTCTCTGCTGTAACCAGGGAATTAGGCTTCAGATAAAATTTTCTTCTTCCACGCACTTTCCCTGCCTCGCTGGAGGCTCCATCAGTTTCCATCTACACCTGGACTCTGAAATCCTAATGATGAATTATTGCCCCTTTTCCTAAGAGGGCGAACCTTACAAGGGAACATTTTACTGAACTGTCAGCTCACAGACTGAGTGCGGAGATGCGGAAATCTGATCTAATTTACTGCAAAACGATGCATTTGTTAGACTTTTTCCTCAGTTTTGTCCAAGGATCAAGAGATCATTCTATAGCCACATTTGTGTTCTTTTTCGCAGTTGGACGAACCCAAGATTCTCTGAGAAAGGAAACAAAGTCCTATTTTACAAAATCGGGTTTTTTTCCAAGCCTATACTGTTATCCTTTGGTTTTCAAACATGACATTTGGATTCTCAGGCAAAAATAATTTTCATATAATATATCAACTAAGCGTAAGGCATGCATGGTCCTCATCTGTAAGATTTTTTTTCAGATATGTCTAGGATATATTCAAGAAGAGTCTCTTAATTATCTAACTCATTTAGACTATTCATAATCCTGGAAATTCTTGTAACCCCTTCCTCTCCACCCCTCACTCCCAGACTCATTTATAGGGATGTTAATACTGATCCACTTTTCTGTGTAAGCAAGAGACCTCTGTAATCTCGTTTCCAGTGCTTACAAGATCACATCCTAACAGAAGAGGACGGCCTAAGTGTACTTAGCAAATAGTACACTGAGACAGTCAAAGCTTTATTTAAAAAAGGAGTCATTTTGAAATTCTGACTTAAGTTCATCATAGAGTATCAGCTCATAAATTTATGGTAAGGAAAACATAATTGATCCATTTTGCTCAGCTTAAAACGTCTTACAGATTATTAAAGCATGGCAGGGGTTAATTTGCCAATTTATGGGCTAGATTTTTCCCTACCATTTATGCTTATAATAGGCTTTAAGTGATATGACCTTTGTCTTGTTTCTGACACACTACCAAAAGTGGATTTACGATATACAAGGTGACAACTACCATCTATACAGTATCAATGCATATAACTATTTGCAGGGATCCCAAAGGATGTTCCTGTCCTTTTTCCACTCTGTTTTCACTTTCACTACCTGGCTCTGATAATCTAAACACAGACACAAAGTTAAAAAAAACAAACAGACAACTTATGGGTAAGAACTCTGCCTATCTGTATGTGACGTAACACTTCCCACACTGTAGTGCGCATGCAGAGAAACAGTATTGTGTGTGTGGGGGTGTGTGTGTGTGTGTGTGTGTGTGTGGCAAGGCAAGAACTAAGACAACACACATATTTTTTAAAGGTACTCAGATAATTTTGCATTTTTACTAAATATTCAACAGCTTTTGCAACATAGTCATAAATCAGGTAAAGCCGTATGGGCTAGTATATATCCATTACTAAAGTTCCTGGAGGTGGGGGTAGAGAAAAACTCAAGACATATAATCATTTAACATAGCAATAATGAATATGGTTTACTACAGCATCCTGTGGAAAATGAGTGTTCATTGTATTAGTGTCTTTTATTTCACAGCCCCAGATGTTTCTATAGATTTTTTACCAGGTCAGTGGCTCAAGTCACTAAATCAAATTCCCCCAAGCCATGGAAAGCATAGTATTTGACTCAAATTAATTTATTATTTGGGGGGAAAATGCATAAATAAATATCACTGCAGTAAACCTTAATTCTGAGCAAAGATCAAGTATTCTCTTCTAGTTTCAGGCAACCCTCATTTAGCAACTTGAATATACATGAATTCAACAGTAATTTTTTTTCAATATCGCAGAGAAGACTTAGTTTAGTTATCATCCTATGTGTATAAAAAAAAAAAACCTGTCTCTACACAGAATAACTAGAGATGATCAGAGAAAGAAAAGTTTAGTTTTCTAAGAATATGAGGTTGTAATCAATGGAAAAGATCTTTAGCTTTTGACTGCTGGATGATGATGTTTTATTGAACATGTTATGTGAGAAGGAATAGAACATTTTCACAGATTGAGAAGGGCAATTGCTTTTTTTGTCTATTACAAATATACTTCTCATCTCCTTTCGTATTTCACTTTTTAAACTAAGGAATGGTAGTGATAGAAAATGAAGACCCTTTAAACATTCAGTTCTTTTGTTTTAAATGTAAAAAGCTCACCCATTCAAGGGTGAAGAGAGTTGAACCTACTGTTTTCTCCCCTGTTGGGTCTTAGCATGTGATCCACTGTCACAGAGATAAAGAAATTGTGGGAGTTAAAAGAGGAAAAAAAGGCAACATTGAACATTTGTAAATGTACAAAGGAGAAGATAAAAAATGTTTAACTTTGTGGCGCCTGGGTCGCTCAGTTGGTTAAGCGGCTGCCTTCAGCTCGGGTCATGATCCTGGAGTCCCGGGATCGAGTCCCGCATCAGGCTCCCTGCTCGGCAGGGAGTCTGCTTCTCCCTCTGACCCTCCTCCCCCTCATGCTCTCTGTCTCTCATTC